TAGGTATCACAGTGGTATCATAGTGGTATCACCGGAGGACGGTGGCCGGAGAGAGGATAGTTTTAAAATACCAAAAATATCCTTGCATTAAGATTTTAATTTAAAATTACCAAATTTATAAATTTCCTAATTTATCTATTGATTTGTGGTTAATATTGGTTCTCATAGTTACCACAAACAACTCAGTTCTCCCTTGATATATATATAATATATATATATATATATATATATATATATATGGGTTCATTCAAGGGAGAAGTGATTAGTTTGTGATAAATGTGAGATTCAATTACAGCCAAAAATCAATGAATAAATTAAAAAACTAATATTTTTGGTAATTTGACTTAAAATTATAATTAAAGGACATTTTAGGTATTTTAATTTTTTTATCTCTTCTCTCTCTCTCTCTCTCCTAAATCCAGCCTCCGACGAACACTATGTGATACCCAAAATACACCAAGATACACAATGTGATACCCAAAATACATACAATGTGATATTCAAAACACAACAAGTAAAACTTTGAGACCACTGTGATACCACTATCGCAGGTGGGTGTTTAGTGGTCGATCATCGGATACGTCGTCTTAACCAGACAAGATGACCGGAGGAGGTCACTGGAGTGGTGGTGGGTGCCAGAGAAGGCCATCGGATTTGGTCCATGTGCATCCGCGTGTGTGTGTGTGTGTATATACATATATTAAACTAATTAAAGTAATTGAATAATCAACACAATTTACTAATTTACCCTTTGTTTTATTTTTGTAAATAAAATTAATTATCTAAAATGATAGGTTTATATTGGACCTCACAGTTACCACAAACTATTTAGTTTTCATTTGGTTAGGCTTATATATATCTACATAGGGGCTGGTTCAAATACTAACCAAAACTATTGTGCAAACTATGTTAACCCAATCTTGATCGTTCATTTTGTCATCAAACGGTCCAAATTAAATGAGACTATAAAAATAATCATTTAATTAATATATTAATTGAGATGTCTATGAACAACGGTTCAGATGGTACTTTTGTAAAAACATCGCATGAACACGGTGAACATTTATATGAACACGATGAATGTTCATGGACATTACATGGATATGAACACCATGAACACCGTGAACATCGGAATTACCACATGATCAATTAGAGGGATCTTAAAAGACTTGTAACTCCCAAATAATTATTAGGGAGTTACATAAAGGTCAAATTACAAAATGACCCTTGTATTCAATTTATAAGTTACATTTGAATATAAAGTAAAGAAAGAATGTGATTGGTTGATGTTGGTTAGTAGAGTTAACACAAAAAAATTGGTTAGTATT